AAGGCCAATTCACTTGCCTCAACCAACCTGACAGTTGTACATCAACAGCCAAGGTGTAAGCATAGCAGTCAATGGACATCCTGTGAAAACTTGATCAATTATGCTAGCACATTGTCGACCTGTGAATGCGGCAGCGAGGTGATATAATAGAGCAGGTGTGAAAACTGAAATGATTTCATGTCAATCATTTGAGCATACTAACTTCAACTTAGCCACATTATCAGGTGCCTTAGTGTGTGATTGTGTGAACTCGAAACCTGACAAGTTTTAATCACCAATCGGACACTATTCCTAACACTTAGAGCAGTCATTTCCATCTTATGTCAACGATAACACCCACGAACTGATAAACAACCAACAACGACCCATAAAACTAAAAGCTGAGTCACTGCCAACATCACACTAATTTTCTCACACCTGCATATGTCATTTTTGCCTTTTCCTCACAACTCACACCTATATAGACGTATATAAAGAAGATTGAGATATTGACTGCAGCAGTCTAGATCACCAACTTTATCGGACAGGAGAATTGGACGGTTAAGCGTTCAAAGCGCCTTCCAACAAGTGACCCCGAAGTCGAAGTTCTGGCTTTAATTTTCCAATTCATCTCTAGTGGTGAGTGATGATTCGGTGTATTTTTCTTTCAATACCTCATTTAATTTTGCTTCTTTGGAGTATACCTGCTTGCGCTGATATTTTTTACGCAACTTCAGACTTGGTTTGTTTCTAGGTTTGAGAACTAACCCTGTTGAAATGTACTAAGTCAACACTAGATTCGTACACCAGTTATTATTCTGCCTGGTGCAAAATTACTGTCCACATTGCTTCATGTTCCATGTTTCCTTGTGGCTTTTTATAAGATCTTCCTTCATTATCACGATAGATGTCGGTGTTGGCCTTCGTTGGCAGACTGGTGTATGCATGCAAAATTGAATGGAGACTTGATTCTATACATAGCGAGACGCTTTGTCTGATTTATCAATAACAGCCAATGCGCACTTTTTCATTGCTCCTTGGCTTAAGTGCCACCACAATACAGGTGTCATGAATTTATTCAAACTCTCAAATACTACACTTGGATCTGTTGGTTACATCAAGTTCTAGCTGACTTGCTGGATTCAAATTACACGGACGTTTAGAGCAAGGGTGTGAGCCGACACGGAGATGGAAAGCCTAAGAGTAACTTTGTGTGTCATAGCATCGATTTAAGTAAATCTTTGGGTTATTAAATGCCCATTTCAATATTAGACATGGTTTGTCTTGCGTGCATTGCATTTGGTTAAACCGCCTGCAACACCGGCTTAGACAGGATTTACAAATCTAGTTCTTATTTAACACCTGGTAACCGCCAAGTCTCACGGGCCATTTTGTCAATCGATTTAGCAATTTGTTATATTAATGCTTAGTTGTCTAATCGTTATCACCTCCATCAACAATACATTTATTCGAATTATGTCCTGTGGTGCTGTGTCAACTAATGCAGTGTGCTGTCAATGAGGTGAGTTTGAAGACCAGAACGGTGGTTATGATCATCATAAGCTGAGCCAAATTAACTGGACTTTACCCGACATTACCCTGATTCACTACAACAGCCTGATATAACAGCAACAATTTATGTCTGCTTTTCAGGGCCGACTACTGCCTCCTTTACTGCTCTTGCGCGACATCGACGCATTTCACTTCGGTTGTGCTCTCGCCAATTAAATCGCATAATGAATAAATCTTTCCGTATGCCCAGACGGTTGATGGCGAGGCTGGAAGCTACGTCGGATCCTAGACGCGAAAGAGCCATAATCAGTATTTTGCAATTATCTGTGGATGTAATCAGTGCGTGTTTTTTGGCACGCGAAGAAATCGCTTGAGCCCACCCCCATTGTGAAGATAAACAGGCGTTTATTTGCAGCCACTAACGCCCATCTTATTGTTAA